TTGAATGTTGCAAACAGCCAAGTAGATGCGGGGACCACTGTCTATGGAGTAAACATGCAAGGCGGGTGCACGGGGTCATGCCTTTCCCCAGCCCCACTCACAGGAGCACGAAACACTGTAACAAGAGCAGAGTCCTTCTAACCATCTGTGTGGTGTGGGTCAAGGCATTTAACCTCCCTGCTTTCAATATCCTAATTTGTGAAATACCATCATTTTAGGTCAGCTGTGGTTTGCTAGGAGTTGGGTAGGTGAATTTTATACAGGTATGGTTCTGGAGTTTTCAATTTCAGAACAAATTAAATCCTAGTCTTTGACATATGTTAGGAGACAAGGAAAGCTCAGACATGCTTAATTTAGAAAAGGACACCTATAATCCCAGCACTTGGGAGGCATGAGGATTGTGAGTTTGAGACCATCCTGGGCTACACAGCAAGGTCTTGTCTTAGACAAACCAAAATAAATATGTGGCAGTGAATAAGTTGATGCTTTTAGATTATTTATCATGTCCAGTATACTGACCAGTCCTCTGGGGGGGAAAAAAAAAACACTTCACTAGAGAAGTGTTGAAAATTGCTTAAGGGCAGTGACTATGTTTTCTCAGCCTAGTGCCTGAGCATTGCAGCATACTAATGAGTGTGTGTTGAATGAATAATAGCAGGTGTTTCAGTCAGTGTTCAATCAGAGCACCAGAACCAGGAGAAATACACATGCACATATATTAAAGAATCAACAGCAAGAAATGACATCCCAACTGGTTATGACTGGCTAGGCAAGCCTGAAATCCACAGAGTAGACCATCCGGGAGGAGAGCGCACAGCAGGCTGGGCATGAACTGATGATGCTTGACTTCTGATTGTCTTAGAAAAGGCTCTAGGTCAGCCCCATCAGGACAATTTCTGTTTCCATACTGGGGATTGGAGGGCCTCACACATGCTAAGTGAGTGTTCTAGCACTTCAGCTGCAAACCCAGCCCTTTTGTTTGTATTTTGTTTCTGAGACAGGATCTCCCTAACTTTTTCCCCTGGGCTGGTCTCGAACTTGGAATCCTCAGTTTTCCAAGTAGCTGGGATTGCAAGTGTGCACCACCACACCTGACCTCTACAACCGCTTTTGATTAACCTAAAATCAACTGATTAGGGACTTTAATTATATTGGCATTACCCCTCCACAGCAACACCTAAATCAGTGTTGGACTATACTACTGTAAGGTGTGTGTATTCCTCAAAGTTGCTGCAGTCTCCCTCTGTTCTCTAGCTCTTACAAGAGAAAACGTTGGAAGCCCACCCTGTCTGAAAACTCTAGAAAGGAAATTTAAGGGACTGCAGTTCCGCCTAGCCAAGTTGACATATCACAAAACCCACCACAGAAGTAAAGACTGGTTTATGATTGTTTGCATTCTTAAGTATTTGCATTTGTTTCATTTTAAAAGGGCTTTTTCCTTTACATCATTGTATCAAATTATATGCACAGTGCAATTGCTTGTAGTATGAAAGTAACTTTCCTGAAATTACCTTGGAGCATAGCATTAAACTAGTTTGTTCTCAACTGACCAGGAAGACACATATAGCTTGACAGCAGAGGAAAGAAAACAGTTACATGTCAGGCTTGACTTGTAAGCTGCCAAAAGCCCAAGTCCTTCCTTGGACTGATTCGAGAACATCCCCAACCTCCACCCCATCTGATTCCCAAACTTTCTCCCCCAACAAAGTTGCATGCCACTGAAACTCTTCCGTATGGCTTTCTCCCTTGGCTTATCTCTAAGTAGATGTGTGTGGGTAGTTGTGTCTGTGTGTGCGTAATTGATCGCCTCATGGTAAAACCTACCCGTGAGATTAAGACTTCACATAGACCAGAGAACAGATGTCTGTTTTGGCTCCAGGTTATTATTTGAATTTGTAAGAGGAACAGCTGTTTGAGGGCCTAGTTTAGAGTAGTTGGGGTCTCCATCCACGCACTTGCCAGTGGCAAGCCTAGTTTGCATCACATTTGGAGTGACTGGTTTCCTCTCTTGTTACTGTCAGTATGGAAAGGGTAGGGGAGGCAAATTTTTAACCACCAACTTGCATGTAGTTCTGGAAGTGTGCTCAGTAAAAATTCTGCCATTGCAGTTTTGTTCGTAGTCTGTTCTGTCCTGAGATATACTCAGACCTCCAGAGTCTATGAACTTACCACCAATTGTGTGTATCACACTTGGCACACTGCCACACAACTAGTGCTCAATGAGGAAAACTCCGCTTTTTGTTAAAGATGGCATGATTTATGCATGAGAAAGTTGAACTCATCTCATGGTTGGTTAGTGTGCAGCTCCATGAGGTAGCTACTTGTCCTCTTCTGTGTTCCACCACCCCACTCATTGGTTATAGTCTATGGATGCTCAGCAGATGATAAGGAAGGGAGTTGCCACTTTTGCTCCTGGTCTTTGGCTACTCTATTCTGAAGATCACAGGTGCCACTAGATGCTGATTTTTCATCATTGTAGCTTTGAATTTCAGGAACATGATGGGTATCGTATTTTGGCTGGAAATGAACTTTTTTTCCCCTCTCTGATAATCGCACACAAATGTCATTTCACCATGAAGCTTCTACTTACTCGTGGTGATTATACTCATGTCACCTTGCTTCAAATTGTACTCCAGTGTAATTTTAAATGTATATTTCCAGTGCCCCTGCTTGAGTAATTGATACTCTTCATAGTGCATTTGTTTATCATTTATTTCTTTACTAGTATTTCTTTTGGGTTTTTTACTAGTATTTCTTTGAGCAGTCAATCTCAGAGAAGAATTTAGTGATAAATATTTTTTACGTGGTTCTAAACACACTTACTTTTGCCTTTTGTTTTACTTATCTCAGGAAATGCAGATTCCCTGAAAGACCTATAAGAGAAAACAATGAAAATAATTTTTATTAAGAGAACATGAGCCGGCCTAGATTTGAATTCCAGATGGGCTACTTCTTAGCCATGTAATCATGGGCAAATCATTCAAACTCTGGCCTTCAATTTCCTCATCTGTAAAATAGGGGTAATAAGAATGCATATTTCATAGGACTCTAGTGAGAGTCATATATATATTTATACATGTGTTATCTATGTATATAATATATTTTATGTATGTGTAATACATAGCAAGTGCTCAGTAATTATTAATTCAGTGGGTTTGAACTTCTGTATTGAGGTTGAGGCTGCAATCTGCAGTTCTCATAGTTTCCTATAGAAGTCATTTCATTGCCTGACTCTAAACATCATTCCAGGTTGTGGTCAGGCAGGACAGGGGCATGGGGCATGGGACAGACTGCTGTCTTCTTTGGGGATGATCTTCTGTAGGTGTCTGTGGCAGGTTCAGTTCTGTGCATTGATGACGTCATTGTTCCCTCGGGCATGGTTCAACAGAGCCCTTTTGCAAATTCACCTGGCTCCTGCACAGACTCGTCTGTGGCGCCTTCAGCCCTGTACCGAATGCTTCACTCTGAGATGCCCTTGTGAGGACTGCAGTACTCTCCTCTGCTGACCTGTGGTCTTAGTGAGAACCAAGGGAAACTTCTCTGTCCTTTCTTATGACCACGTGGAATGAAGAAGGGTAGTGCTTTGCTCTCCACTACCTGAGCTCGTGGTCTCGTCACCTTTTCCTCTGCCCCCTTTTGCACTACTGACATCATCAGTCACTTACAAGAATGCAGGCAGGAAGTAGAATATATTTTCCCCTATTTGCATCTTTATCCTCACTCCCCGTCATTTATGTTTCCGTTACCACCAGGGACAGCAAAGGAGGGGAGAGGACAGGGTAAACCACATTTACATGCTCTAATCTTACCGCCTCTTACCTCTTCAACAGTACTTTGTTCCTCTTCTACTTGAAGCCCTTGCTGGTATGTGGTTTCAAGGGATGAAAAACCGGTTTTATTAGCACTTCCTTCAGATCTGTCCTTGTTTCACAGTACAGCAGTGAGTCAAGAATTTGGATTTGTTTTGTGGGTCTTTTGGGAGTAGAGGGAGAGGAGAACAGTATCCCCTTTGGGCTGATGGCGTGTCATAAATGAACACTCCTCAGAGTGGCAGTTATCACTATTATTACTGTTGTTATTATTACACAGTCTATCTGATCTAAGTGATTCTCTTACTAGCTTAAGGCAGTGGTCCTCAAATCTTTGGATTTCACAGATGAGGAAACATGTTTTATTTAATTAGGAACTGACAAAGTGTTGCCAACTCTTGTTGCTATCAACTAAACAACAACATTGTTACCGTCTATTTCTGTCATTTCTCTTATTCCTTCTCTCCCACTAATAAGAAGAAAATGAAGAAGAAAGAGCAGTTCTTGCACCGTGAGTAAATTTAGCCATGGGCACACTTCAGCAGATTGCCTTGAACTTGCTCACTTAGCTGCAGTCCGGTGAAAATTTCTTCCAGCCCAGCACCAACCAGCTTAGTAGTGAGTGCTTGGAAGTCCTGGAGAGTTTCAGCCACCAAGCCTGGCTCACTGTGGGCTGTGATTATGTGTGAAGTGTTGGCTTTTGAGAGCCAACACATAGAATAACTCAGGCCAAAGGAAACACTGAACCTGAGCACTCAGCCAAAAGAGTGTTGAGTTTGCCTGAATTTCTGGAAAATTGCCTCCATTCCCTACTTTGCTGTGTTTGGGTAAACAAAACATGGCCTCAGAGAGCATTTGCAGGAGAAATTATAGAAATTCCACAAAAACCTCGTGATCTCATTTTGGATCTTCTCAGGATTCCCCATCAAGCTGCAATTAAGCAGAGGAAGATTCTGCCTTGGGGTGTGATTTTAATTACTCATCGTGTTATGACTTGACTTTCCATTGCTGCATTTCTTTTCCTTTCCCCATCACTGCTTCTGTTTGACAGCTTCTCCAGAGTCACTTTACTTTTGCTGTAGGCTAAGAGCAAAGCACTAAATTGAAGGGGAGGGCAAGGCAAAAACACCTCTGGTTGCCTTCGAGCTCTAGCCGTGTGGGAACAGCCTTCTTCTCTCCCTACCCTTCCAGCCTCAGTTCTATGACCCCGTGGAGCCTGTGGACTTTGAAGGACTTCTGATGACACACCTGAACAGCCTGGATATAGAGCTGGCCCAGGAGCTGGGAGACTTCACCGATGACGACTTGGATGTGGTGTTCACACCCAAGGAATGTAGGACTTTGCAGCCTTCTTTACCAGAGGAAGGGTAAATCATTTTCTTAAAATATGAATAAATTGTGATTGTCGTGATGGTTACTGGTAAGAGGAGGTGCCCTAATTCTGAACTTTTCTTTAAAAAAAAGCAAGATTACTAAATGTATTAAGATGTAAGGACAGTAAATGACACTGTGACCTAGATGTAGGCAGGGTGTTTTCTTTTGTGGTGCTAGGAATCAAGCCTGAGGCCTCATGCATGAATGAGATGAATACAGTTTATGAAGTAAAGGCTTTAGAGAGCCCAGTCAGTTCAAGAGACGCAGTGAAACAATATGGAATGCTCTGTTTTAAAGCAAAAGAGATTAAACATGTAGACTCTGAGCTGGACTGCCCAGGTGCCAGCTCAGTGACTTTGGGGCAATTATATGACCTCATGAGCCTCACTATCTCCATTTGTAAATATGTCAAGAGTTTTCACAATAATCATTGAAATAGTTCCATCCAGAAGCATTTCAGTTGTTTCCATACAAGAGGCTAGCTGAAGTTAGAAAAAAAGTTTGCCCCCATTTCTTGAGCATCTACTCTGTGCTGGGCACGGGGCTAAAAAGATGAGTCAGACAAAATCTCTTCTCTGCAGGGAGTTTCCTCAAGGAGGAAAACAGTGGGAAAAGCACTATGGAGTAAGTGAGTAACTGTTTAGGGTTAAGTTGTAGGCCTGGACATTAGCTTTTGATATCAAACAATTAGAATTTTATCTGAGTGAAACTCCTGTTGCTGCCACAGTGTACAAATCGTTGTCTCGTTCAAGGTTTGGGGTAAACTTTTATTTGTGTTCATTTTAAAAGCAAAATTGAGATTCATATCGTCCTGGACGTTTTCAATTTTTCATTTCCCTCCAAAAGTCCCAAAAGAAGATCATGAGTCAGACACAGCCTCTGTGCTCTTTACCCTGAGAGATTCTAGTTCCATTTTGGATTTTATTTCATCACACTTTAAGGAGGTAGGGTGACAGTGACATGGTGTTGTTAAGTTCCTTCTCTCTCTTGTTCACACAGTTCTCATCCTCATAGGAGAACTGGCCATATGTGCAGCTTCAAGGACTTGGAAATACTTATTTCGCTGGAAATAAGTCATTGTCATCTTTGGGAACATTTTTCCCTGTTGTCAGCCCGTTTATGCAGATGGGACTTTAATACAAGTAACACATCGTTTCCACCTTTGGTAGAGAATCATTTTCATTTTTTTCTTTGTGTAAAGTTTACGGTTAATTATCTTCAAATATGTCCATAATCTTGGAAAAGGCTCTTTAAGATAAAATAACTTTAGAGGGTTTTTTTTTTACTGAATTTTGATAAAGGAGACAATTTTTCCCTGGCATCAGTTTTTTTTTTTATTTTAGAGGTCCTGGGATTTGAACTCAGGGCCCCATACTTGCTAGGCAGATGCTCTATGACTTGAGCCACTCTGGCAGCTCCAACATCAGTTTTGAGTATAAGATTTTCTTGTTGCTAGAACTTAGAGCTAACTGATAACTTTAAAAAAACCTCTACTCTTCTTATTGTTGCCTGAGTCTTCTGTGGAATAAAGCACGGGAAGGCATCTCATCACCACGATCACCCTGTGTACATGATGAACGTCCTGTTTCTGGCTCAGAACCTAATAGCTTAGCTGAACCTGTGCTGAGCACTGATTAGCGTGGTTGTTATAAGCCTGGGCCTCCAGGTGAGTCCCTGCCCTACCACTTGCTGGTGGTCTTGGAGCAAGACCCTTACTACCTTATTCTTCTGCAAAAGGAGAATAACAGTAGTGCCTACCCTGGAGGGCCAAGTAGGACTTAACTGAGTGAATACATTCAAGTGAATACATTAGCACCTAGCTCGTAGTAAAATTGTACATAAAGTATGAACTGTCACATATAGTTCTTATTATATTCCAGACTCTTCCAAGCACATGGTTCTCTACAGGAAGCACATTTGTTATTACTATCACTAGTTTCAGATAAGGAAACTGAGGCATGGAAGGGTTAAATGGCTGGCCAAAGGTCACAGAGCTAATAAGGCAGTCTGAGCCCAGAGAGCACAAGTTCAACTTTTGCAACATTTGATCTCATACTGACAGCAAGTTGACAGGTGGGTTCTCTTCTTCTCCCCTGTGTTAGCTTTCCCTTACTGTGACAAATAACCTGAGATACATCAACTTAAAAGAGGAAATATTCATTTTGGCTCACAGTTTTGGAGATTTCAGTTGATGACTGATTGGCCCCATTGCTTTGGGTCTGTGTCAGCAGACAACACCACGGCAAGAACAGGTAGCAGAGGAGGCCTGTTTGCCTCTTGGCCAGGTGCAAAAGGCAAAGAAGAAGAGACCTGCATCCCACCATCCTCTTTAAGGGCATGCCCCGCCCCCAATGTCCCCTCCCCATTGATCTAAGACTTCTGTAAGGACCTTAGAAACCTAGAGGTTTCCCAATACTCCAAGCTGGGGGCTAAGACTTTGACAGGCTGTGGAGACATTCAAGATCCAGACTGTAGCATACGCTTTTCACAAAGGAGAAAAATTAAGACTTGTAGAAGGTAGGTCCATTTATCTCTAGTACTAGTGCATTTGCGACAATCTCAAAAGCTTTGCTACTGTTATTATTTCTATCACGACTGGAAACATGAGAAGAATATCTCTTACAACATACTTCTAAGCAGGTATGTCAGGAACCATCAGAATAAATGATCACCAGCCAGAGCCATCATCAACAAAGTTATCAAAGCCTAAGATAGCTCTTCTTCTTGGCTTTCTAAAAGGAGAATGTGCATGTCCTAACAGAGCTGCACATAAGCAAAAAATTACCTGTTAGAAATAAGTATTTACACTTTTTTGCTTGTTTGGTATTTGATTACAGCTAGTTCTACCTGTCTTTCATCTTAATGCCTTCAGGGATAGGTGTAGTTTAACAATTTTTAATAATACAGAAAACCCCACAAACCATGAAATGTGAAGATGTGTGTCCCATCAAAGGAAAAGTACTGTTGCCTCAGGAACACTTCAGACTTGTGAAATGAAGGTCAAGAACATCGTTAGCATTCTCCGTTGATATGTGTCTGGAACCATACTGTGCCTCTTAGTTATGATAAGGGCTCGTTTTGTTGTTTTTTGCCCGGTCATTACATGTCTTTATCTCATTTTCCATCTAATTAGGGTTGAACTGGACCCACATGTCAGAGACTGCGTTCAGACCTATATTCGGGAGTGGCTGATTGTGAACCGGAAGTAAGTTACTTTTTCTGCCCGCCTTTAGCTATAAAGGTTAATTATTTATTGTTAGCATTTTCTTGGGTTTTTTTCAAATTAATAGATTTTTGAGTAGCATTAGGTTTATAGAAAAATTGAGCATAAAGTACTAAGATTTCTCACACACTCCCTCACCAGTCCCCACACCCTCCACCATTTATACAGTTGCCCTGCTCTAGACAACTTGCATGAATGGTACCTTTGCTGTAATTGATGAGCCAATGTTGATACTAAAGTCTATAGTTTGCACTAGTGTCCTCTGGTTTGTTTGTTGTGCTGGAGATGAAACCCAGGGCCTTGGTCATGCTAGGCATGCACTGAGCTGCATCCTCAGTCCTAATGTTCACTTGTTGAGCTGTATATTCTACGGGTTTTGATAAGTTATATTCTATAATGACATGTATCTGTCCTTGCAGCATCAGACACAAGAGTTTCACTGCTCTAAAAATCCCCTGTGTTGTACCTGTTCATTGCTGCTTCCCTCACTGGCAATCACCTAACTTTTTTACTGTCTATAATTTCACCTTGTTCTCATGCTTGATAGCCCATTTCTTGCTTATCATTGAAATTGTGTAGGATGTGCCATGTTTCCTTTATCATTTACTTATGAAGAAAGTTATATTTTAACATAAAGAATGGAGCCTTTTAGCCAGACATGATGGTACACAGCTATAGTCTTTGTTAAAAAGGATCACTTGAGCCAGGAGTTCAAGGCCAGCCTGGGCAACATAGTGAAGCACTATATCGAAAGAAAAAGAAAAAGGATAGAGCTTTTTAATTTTTATCCTGATGAATTCCTATGAATTGGAACTTTGTCTTAGAGTCAAATCATTAAAATTTGTGACCCAGAAATAAATTACTTTGCTAGCTTTCCTGTCAAAAGGGTGTTTCTCATGACATTTTCTGTCCCATTTCACTGAAGTGAATGAAACTCTCTCGTGACAGTCATCTGAATATGCTGAAATTCTCAACCTGTGTGTGTATGTGTGTGTGTGCATGCATGTGTGTGTGTGTGTACATTTTGGGGAGCAAGATGGGGACTGTCTACAGATTGGAGCCCACTCACTAGAGACACACCAGAGAACCTTTGACAAGCTTGGAGTTCAACAGCCTCTCCTCTCTACCCCAGTAAGAATTACTGTTCTTTGGGATAAGTGATGAAAGACTTCGGGGATTGAGTTTTATCCAGCTCTTGGAAATGTGCCATCCCACTTGTGCTGATGCTTTTTGGAGTGATGTCATTATGTCAATAGGGGAGGGAGAGAAAGCATAGCTTATAAAAGTAATTAAGAGAAAGTTAGATGCTATTCCATCTTCTGTTTTAATACAAATGGAAAATAAAATTTGTCAGGCAGTCACATAAGATTATGCTTCACTGGTAATAAGTAAAGATTTCAGAACAAGTTGTTCTCAAGCTTTAAATGTTATAATTATAGGTACTTCCTGGATATTAAAGTTCTAAAAAAATCTGAGAAGGAACAATAAATAGAAAGGTCCATTTTACTAAATTTGGTTTTCAGATTTATTTTCTATTTGAGACACTGTACTTTTTCATTGCTCGTGGCAATGCAAACTCCTTGGAATATTCTTTTTTTTTCCTACCTTCTACAAACTTAACAGAAAAAAAGGATTCTTTCTGGAATACTCACTGTAGAAATTTATATGGAAGCAAACCAAAATAATTCCATTTCACTATACACATATAACTTCCTGTAACATTGTGTAAGGTTTAACATGTATAACCTTTGCATCATGACTCTTTGTAGTATGTTAGTAGAAAAGCTAAGTGAGATTATAATACTCTTTTAAAATATATATTTTCAATTGTCATAATAAGTGGTGGTTGTCTCTCTTTATTATTAAATATTCTTCCACAATACTTTCATTAGTGATAATATAATATACTTAAACCACAATTCATTTAGCTAATTTTCATGTTTAGATGATTCTGTTTTTTATTTTTATACTCAAAGTGAAGCAATAGCCTCCTCACTAAAGCTTTGTGCACATTTATGATTTACCTCTTGGAATAAATCTCTCTAGCCAAAATTTTGTGTGTAAGCATTTGCACAAACTTAAGAATCAGGAAATAATAGATCAAAGATTATTAACAATATGTACATAAGTCTCAAGAATGTTGAATATTATCATTTACTAATATTTCTAATTTTTCATAAAATGGCTGTCTTTTATTCATTTTCTTCGATTATTTGATTGGATGTCTTTCTATATATTTGTTGGCCATTTGTAATTTTTCCTTGGTGGTCTGCTTATTTATGAAATTTATTCAACTCTACTAAGTAATTTGGTCTTGCATAGCTTTAGCAGCACTTTTTGTTTGTTTCAAATACTAACCCTTAAACTGGAGGAGTGGCTCACGTGGTAGAACGCCTCCCCAGCAGGTGTGAGACCCTGAGTTCAAACCCCAGTACTGCCAAAAAAAAATGGTTAAAAATATTAACCCTTTATCATTTAAGTTCCTTACCCAGTATGTCTTCTTAAATTATTTGTAATTTTTAATCCTTACCTTTATGTAGTTCAATCTATATGGGTATTTTCCCTTACGGTTTCTATTTTCTTGGGCTTTGGGTTACAGTTAGTCTAGACCATTGCCATTTGATTTTTGCTTCTGTTCTCTTTTGGTCCCCATTTCTTTTTATCTCTTCTGCAGAAGCACTGATTATCCATACATTTATTTTATTCAAGGTTTTAAGTCTTTTTTTTGTGCGGGGGGGTGCTGAGGTTAGAACTCAGGGCTTCAAACTTGCTAGGCAGGCACTCAATCACGTGAGCCATGCCTCCAGCCCTTTTTGCTCAGTTTATTTTGGAGATAGGTCTTGCTTTTTGTCCAGGCCAGGCTGGATTGAGATCCTTCTATTTTATGCCTCCTGCTATAACTGGGCTGATAGGCACTTACTACCACACCAAGCTTTTTTCCCTTGAGAAGAGGTTTTGCAAGCTTTTTGCCCATCCTGGCCTCTAACTGTAATCCTCCCAAGTAATTAGAATTACAGGCGTGAGCCACTGGCACCTGGCTTAAGTCTTTCTTTCTTTCTTTTTTTTTTTTTAATAAAACAAAGCAATATCTGTTTTTACATTTGGTAACATGCTGAAAATGGAAATTGATGTTGTCCCAGTTCTCTGCACACTTCCCTTTCCAGAAACAAGCTAGTGGCAGGAGAAGCATGAAACTTCAAAACTCATTGCCAGCTTCTGCTGAACTCTGACTAGTGTTTTACTAGGGTGTGTGCGTGGGGTAGGGGGAACATCTCTTCTACCTCTCTATTTGATTCTCTTGTACCAAATTTGACACTCTGAACATGAAAGCTATAATTTCTAGCACCCACTCCTACCCAGCCTCATTCACTCTTTATGTGCATCCATGATATTTTCCTTGTGGGAAGAATCCAATGCACAATTTATTGCCAGGCCACACATACATTTTAGCTCAGTCCTTTTCTAAGAGTTGTTTTTGTGTGTCTGTAGAATGATGGTGATGTAGAATGAGGGTAAGAAGAAGGTGGTGGTTCATACTAGTGAAGTCGGGTGGAGCCTGTGAGTGCCTTCACGAATCAGCCACTGCAGTGAAGAATTCAGATTTCTGGCTAGTATAGACACTGACTATTCAGAGACATGTAAGAAGGAAGATATACAGCACCTTCCTATCTTTATTGAGTGAATTTCCCTTGGGAAAATTCTTTCCAACAACATCTGATCCACAGGGTTTCTTTCCAGATTCAAGCATTAAGTTAGCTACTTGGTTCGATGAGTTTCCATTTTTTCTGGGTCTTTATAGATGCACTTGGTCCCTACACAGGTGAGAATATTTCTGAAGAAGGAAATGGAACCTGTGCACCTAATACATTCTCTAATCACCATCAGACTCTCCTCCAGAAAAGTCATGTTAATTCACTCCATTACCAACTTAGCATGAAGCTACCCTGTTGCTCTGTATTCTTGCCAATGCTAAATTTCATAGATTAAAATAAAATTTAAATTCCTCCAATCCTAGCAAGTATGGTGACTCATACCTGTAATCATCGCTGCTTGTGAGGAAGAGATCAGGAGAATCATAGTTGGAGGCCAACTTGAGCAAGAAGTGCTCAAAACTCCATTTCAATAAAAAATAAAAAAATTTTTTAAAAAGCTGGTTGTGGTGGCCTGTGCCTGTCATCTCAGCTATGTGAACAATGTAGCTAGAAGGATCTCAGTACAGACTGGCCCAGGCATAAATGTGAGACCCTATTTGAATAATACCTAAAGCAAAAAGGGCTGGAGGTATGGCTCAAGTGGCAGAGCACTTGCTTAGCAAGTACAAGGCCCTGAGTTCAAACCACGTGAAAGGTCTGGGATTCAGTACTCAGTACAGAAAGAAAAAGAAACAATAATACTTATATTATCAGTTTTGTTGTATATGAAAAATAAGTTAAATATATGTAAAGTACCCAGATTTCTGGGCAGTAGGTAATAATTCAATAACTATTAAACTAGCTCTTATTTATGATTTTATTCAGTCGTTACAGAATATGACTCAATAATTCTTGCACAATTGACAAATAATTTCAATTAGACCAACTGGTAAGGTATATGCAAAGTTTAAAATACAAGAGGGCAACTCAATGTTGTCAAAGATTTCTTTCAATTTGATGATCCAGGGTAGATTTCACATTACAGACACTTTCATTTGTATATTCCTGGAATACAGATAAGATTTAAAAAATCATAAGCTTTATACTTTAGGGTTTATCTAGTTATAATTTACTTATTCAAAATATTCCTTCCAAGTGAAATAAGTATGACATATAGTAAAAATTCAATAAATATTAGCTATTATTTATGATACTTATTAAATATCAGAAAAAGCACTTACATTAGCATGTGAAGAGAATAAACCAAAACAAAAACTCTATCCCATATATTTTAATTCACATTCTTAGTAAAGATGAATGTCTTCTTGACTTCAGGAGTCTGTACTTACT